ATATTTTTTGTTGTAGCGGTAAGATATTATAATCAAATAAATATACTAATTATATTTTTTTTGTCAATTAAACATATATCAGTTTATGTTACTTAATTATTTTATGTAATCATCTAATAAAATAGATATATACAAAAACTAATTATTTTAAAAATATATATTTTATTGTTTAAATTATTTTTTAAAGAAAAAATATTTCTTTTTCTAATATCATTTTTATTTGTATACATTTTTTTAATGAAAACACATTATATAAAAATATTTTTTCATCTAAGAAGATATAGATATAAAGTATAATTACTTAAAAAGTATAATTTATGTTATTTAAAAATATATTTAAGTTAAATATTACTATTTTGTAAACTTTCATTTTTTATGAAACCATATTATATATATATACTTATTTTTCGTTTTTAAATAGTTTTGTAAATTTTAGAAATATTTCATTTTTGTTTTATATTGTTATTTGGAAGATTTTAAAAAGGAAATAATAATATTTAAATATATTTTTAATTTATTAGGGGTATCATAGTAATCAACCAGCGTGAGAGTTAACGTGAGCGCGACACCTAAGAAAGTGATTTCTCAAATAATATTATAGAGATACCTCCTTCACTATATATACCAATAATGTGTTTCAATGCTCGTTAAGTATCCTTATTAACTTTTGTTTTTTTTTTTTTTTTTTTTTTTTTTTTTTTTTTTTTTTTTTTATAACACTGAATAGTGAACAAAGTTCGAGGGTAAACAAATGTGAAAAACTAAAAACATGAAAATGAGATGTCAGTAGACACCATCATAACAACAAATGAAAAGAGAAGCATGATTTATCCGCTCCCTTACTTATTTAGCCTCCAAAACTAGAAGGTGAAGTAGCCACGATGGAGCATTCTGAGCGATATACGACTGATGGCGCCTATCTCGAGTGACACTGAAAGCAATGGCCGCTGCCGCTTCGTTACGTTCCGGAAGAGTATGATTCAAACTCCCTGAATCTATTCTTGACAGAAGCCAGAGAATGCTGTGACGGATGTGGCTGAGGCTAGGGTGTGCAGTTGGATTTGTCATAGCGTCATGTAAGCACTCCGATGAGGTCTCCAAAATAATGTTTGAGAAGTGTAGGTTGTGCAAGCTTTCCACTGCCCAGTAGAGAGCCCACAGGTCGGCCTCAATCTTTGTGCGCATGTAGGAATAAGCTCGACGACTATGCATTAGTGTGCTTCCATTTTCATCGCGAAGAATCCATGATGCACCACTCGGCTGATTTGAGTCAATCCATGAGGATCCCACATTACATTTTAGGGATCCATTAGGGGGTTTTCTCCATCGAACCTGATCTATGACCATACCATCCACTTGATCTGTCGATCTTGTGAATGTATCGTACCATGTTAGTTCTTCTTCATATGCCCTCTTAGCAATAAAAGAAGACTCTAAAACCTTATTCTTAAAAACAAATGAGTTCCTAGCTTTCCATATGTCCCATAGCAACCATGGAAAAACTTTCTTTGTATGGATATCCAAAGAAGCGCTTCTTGCAGTTTTGAGTAAATGGACAAAATTTAAGAATGTAGAATTCCTAGAGAAACCTCCTAAAGGTACTTGGACATTAGCTTGATCCCATATGTCACGTGCTTTAACACATGTGAATAAAACATGACAAATAGTCTCATCCTCATTTCCACAAACTGGACAGGTTGGATCTATCGGGATACCCCGAGTAGTCAAACGTTGCTTAACAGCTAACGCACCTGATAACGCCCGCCACATAAAATGTTTTATTTTTGGTGGAGCTTTTGTTTTCCATAAATCCCGCCATAATTTCTTTTCAATAGGGGTGAGCGATTGCCCTTGAGAGTGATTATATTCCACCAAAGCCTCTAACAATTTATATCCACTTCGCGTCGTATATGCACCATTTGGTGTGAAACCCCATCTGATAGAGTCGTCACATACCAATGATGGTTTCAAAAGTAGTATCCTTTGCGTATCCTGAGGCGTAAAAGTCTGCTGTAGCAAATTAATGTCCCATTGGTTAGACCCTGGTCTTAGCAAATCCGAAACTTTAAGCGCTAAATTTATAGAACTATTTTCACGATACATTGGTGGTCTTGGAATAGTGTCAATAATCCAATTCTCAGCCCAAACATTAGAGTCAGCTCCATTACCAATATGTCGATATAAACCCTTTTTAAGTAATTCTCTTCCATGCATGATGCTCCTCCAAGCATAAGACGGACGTGTCCCCATTCCGCAGTTTAGAAAATCGCCATTTTTAAAATATTTACCTTTAAGGATTCGAGAGACCAAAGAATCTGGATTATTCCATATTCGCCAAGCTTGTTTCCCAAGTAACGTCTGATTAAAACGACCAATATCTTGAAACCCAAGACCCCCCTGTTCTTTAGGTTTACAAAGCTTTTCCCAAGAAACCCAAGGTATTTTTCTTTTTTTGTCCCCACTACTCCACCAAAACTCTATAATCGCACTCGTAATTCGTTCACAGAGACCTTTTGGTAGCCTAAAAACAGACATTGCATATATCGGTAGAGCTAAGGCCACTGATTTTATTAGAACTTCCTTGGCACCCATTGACAAAGTTTTAGAGTACCATCCCTGTAGCCGTCCTTCTAATTTATCCTTAATAAAATTTAGGAGCGCTTTTTTTGAACCTTGAAAGCATTCAGGGAGACCAAGATATGAACCCTCACCACCTTCTTTTTCTATACCCAAAACCTCTTTGATCATCAGTTTATGAACATTATCTATTTTTTTCCCAAAGATGATGGAAGATTTCAAAGGATTAATCATTTGCCCAGACGCATCCCCATAACATTTTAGACCCTTCATAATTTCTTCACTGTCACTCACAGAGGCTTCACATAGCAATAAGCTATCATCCGCAAACAATAAATGGTGGACAGAAGGGCTGCCCGTCCCAAGTTTTATACCATGTAATTTCCCTTTTGCTTCCGATCGATTTAGAACATGAACTAAAGCTTCAGCACATAAAATGAATATAAAAGGAGATAAAGGATCCCCCTGACGAATACCTCTTTCTGGTTTAATAAACCCATGTGAACGTCCATTGAGTAACACCGAGAAAGTGACAGTAGTGATGCATGACATTAACCAGACGACCCATTTCCGATGGAATCCCATTTTTTCTAATAAAACTTCTAGAAAATTCCATTCAACCCGATCATAAGCCTTTGACATGTCAGTTTTAATGGCCATACATTCTTTACCAATTTTTTCATTTGTACGAAGCGCATGTACCAGCTCGTGTGCTATAATGACATTGTCCGTTATTAACCTGCCCCCTACAAAAGCCCCTTGAGTTTCTGAAATTATATGTGGCAAAACCGTCTTCATGCGTTCACATAGAATACGAGAAATGATTTTATATTGAACACTACACAAACTTATTGGACGCATATCCTTCATTTCTGTAGGGTTCACAATTTTAGGCAACAAATATAATTGTGTATGATTCCACCCAGCAGGAATGATGGCTGTTTTAAAAAAACCTTGAACATCCTGAATAATTTTCTTAACTATAATGTGCCAGTATTTCTGATAGAAAAAACCAGTAAGTCCATCTTCTCCAGGTGCACTGCTACTTTTGATACCAAAGGCTGCATCCTTGATTTCCTCAGCGGATACCTCCCTAATTAATAATGTGTTCATCTCTGAGGTAACTTTACTTTCAAATCCATCGAACAATGTTTCCAGATCAATTCGATTGGAGCTTGTAAACAACTCCCTAAAATATTCGGTAGCAATATGCCCTTTCGATCCTTCTGAATAATGTTCATTACCAAAAATATCTTTGAGCATCAAAATTTTATTTCTAATTTTTTTCCCCTTCACCACATTATGAAAATATGTGGTATTTCTATCTCCTTCCCTTAACCATTCCTCTCTACTTTTTTGTCTCCAAAAAATCTCCTCTTCCCTATAAGCCGCAGCCAGTTCTTGTCTTAACCTTCTCATCAAACCATAAATAGGAAATTGTTTGGAACTTTCTTTATCTAAGTCACACTGCAACCGATCAATCCTAGTTTTTGAATTCCAGTCATTAGCCTTTTTAAGCTTAGACAATTCCGACCTACACCGAGCAATACGATCAAGAACCGATAAATTTGAGTCTACGTTCTCAGCATCCCATCCTCGGATAATAGCCTCATTAACCCCTCTTTTTCCAAACAAACGTTTATCAAAATAAAACCGTCCCCTCTGCAATATTTCCGGCTCAAAAGCAAACTCTACACGTAAAGGTCGATGATCAGAGGGCCACATACTCATATATTCAGTAGATGATTGAGGAAAAAGACGAAACCATTCCGCGTTACCAAAGGTCCTATCAAGACGGCATTGTACCCAGTGATGGTCCCGCATACCAGCCCATGAAAGGGAATTTCCGGTAGATCTCATTTCTCTGATTTTACATGCTTCAGCCATATTCCGGAAGTCAAAAAAAGTGGTTTCATCTCTAATAGCCCCACCTAATTTTTCGTCATTATTCATTAGTTCGTTAAAATCACCCACCAAGACCCAAGCTTCATCTCTACTCACACCAATATCTATTAGTTTATCCCAGACTAGTCGTCTTCTTCCTCTGACTGGATCACCATATACACATGACATAAAAAATACCAAGGAACCCATTGTTATTTTAAGATCAATAATTCTATTATCACTATACAAAATTTCCACTATGTAAGACCCCTTCCACATTAGAGATAACCCACCACTCCGACCAACGGGTTCGACAGTGTGTAATTGATCATAACCCAGACTTGATTTTAAAGCATCCATATAAACAAATTTCTGTTTCGTCTCCATGAGAAATAAAAAATCCGGGAAATACTGACGACGAAAATCCCGAATTCGTTGAACTGTATCCGAATTACCAGCACCTCTGCAATTCCAACTTAAAATACTCATTAAAATTATAATTTTTGATAGGGCTCCGTAAAGCCCATACATTATGTGTGTCAAAAGCCACATTACATCCCCTGAACCACAAAAAAGACTCATACTCACATTGTATCACAAGTGCCAATACTAGCTTATCAATGACAAACATCATAAAGACAACCCAAACATGCCATTTAGAACCCATATATTGACTAAACAAAGGTAATACCACAGATACACGAATAATAAATACAGCCTGAAAAAGTCTGTGACAAACGTTGTGTTGACATCCTTGAATTTTTAACCCCTGATCACGAAATCCATTGCTTATATCAATAATGGCTTGTATCCAACTAACTTCCATTAGCCAACCCATGATCATACCCGGAATCTTAATCTTTATTAGAAAACCGGCACAAGCCGAATTCAAAACACCATCCATGATCTCACCTTGATCCAAAAAATATTCATCAGTCAAATTAACAGAAGGGATCCCTGTTAAACCTTTGCTCTTATACTGGCTTTGTTGCATTTTAAATATGTCCGTGGAAAAATCTAAACACATATACTCACACTGGTCAGAGTACTTCCCAGACCCTTGGACGTATATGAAGACCCAAATTAACCCGCCATCAGTTTCCCACTGTCCCCCAATATAAATGACCAACCTTGTAGCATCATTTAAAGAGACCTTCATGTAAATGAGAATCTCTATACTATATAGATAAATCGAAAACTGAAACCATAGCCATATGCGTAGATTTAACCATATAATCTGACATTCATCCTTTGTCAAAGACAACCAAAGGCCATCGAAAAACCTGCCCCAAAAGGAAGCCGTAAACCTCAATTTGCCATATAATTTAACATTCATCCTTTGACATTCAGACATTATACCCAAAGTTTTCCTGTTAATCACCATATAGTTATCTTTGGATCCGAATAAAATTTGCCAATGCAAAATAAATAAAACGTGACTACCCTTATGGATCAAGAAATCTGCTTGTTGACCCATTATAATATCGTCCGAGAGATTTTTCCAACACCGAAATAGTTTTGCTAACGGGTTCTATACAAACATATAGGCCCAAAATCCCAGCGATCTCCTAATAAACCAAAGAAGAAATACTCCATTAGAAAAAAAGCCATAAAATATACCAGTATCCATTAGAAGATCATATCTGATCCTACCATCTCCCCATTTGAGAGAGCATATCAGCCCCGAGTACCATACCCTCTTGAAAACCTCCTCCTTCCTTGCGAGAAATTGTATACTCCAGTCTTGTTTGCCAAATATCTCCCCGGGAACCTCAGTAGTGTACCCTTGTACCCATCTGAAAACTTTCATTGTTTCCAATTTTCTTCTTGTAGCCTGGTTTAAAGAGACCACACTTAGAATTTTAACTTTTATGAGCCGCGGAATCTCCACCATACAAAACTGATCCCAACACACATTCCATAGCTCCGCTGTATCTGCAGTAAATAAATTTAACCAGTAACACCACCATCCCTGCAAACATTGAATCTGGAGCCAGAAAACCAAAAAAATAAAATTCTTCCTTAACCATGCCTTCGTAGACAAGATCGTCTGAGAAGTAATTAAACAAAACCTCCTCCTAAGCCTAACATGTGACCACAACAGCCATATTCTCGTTGTAGTAACTAACTCTCTACATTTTCTAAACGGTGTCCAATCGTTTAATCTATAAACCATATTCCTAAAAACCTTTGTACTCAAACCTGGGAGCTGCCGCTGATGAAGGAAGACTAGTTTTAGTGCCATTAAACCCACTTCCCGAGAGATCCAAGCACACAGCCTTACATTCATACAACACAAGGCGCCTACTAAACTTTCTTTGCACCTTCGAATAACCCTTCTCTCCTCTGTTACCTCACCATTCGTCCCCACAAGTTGACTCTGATACAGTATCACCACCAGTAAACAAGAGGTCAAAATCCGGAAAATAACGTGTATTGGGACTTTTTCGATGAATCTGCACCAGTGTAGTACACTGGTCTTTATACTGAGAGGCCAATACTCCCTTCCGTCACGCCATATATCTGTAGCCTTAATGTCAAAATCTCTGTTTATGATCCAGAAAATCCGAAAATTGAAGCCAAAATTCCCAACTGATGTTTCACACTTTTCCAGTATTAAGGAAACAAATCGCCACAGTTTCCCTTCCAGAACCCCTCTATCCTGACATCGTATCGAATCCCGATCTTCAAGATCTTCTAAGAAAAGTCTTGCTTTGATGAGAGCAAAACTCATACCCTGCAGATCTTGTGATTGATACGCCAGCTTTCACATCCAAATCATAGACCTTGAGGTTAGCCAGATCGTATGTGATTCCACTGTTTCCCCTTTCCGAAACTTAACTCCCCAAATCCCACCCAATCGATTTTCCTTTAAACTTCCACGAGATCTTTCCAATCCCAGCGTATCATCAGAGTAGACCTTTTGTCGCATCGCAATCGTCCGTTGAATACCCGGATCCCATCCTTGAGCCGACACCGAATCCTTAAGAAAAACCTAGTTCTCCATCTCCATCGCCATCGCTTTTTCTTCTCTAGATGAGTTTGTGAGCAATGCATCGTTTGTGTCCCGTTGATTAACTTTTGTTCTTAAGAGAATTGCGGATTTTGAGGTCTTCGTTTGTGTCCCGTTGATTTCCTTAAATATTAAGGGAAAATTGGAAAATTGGGACAATTTGAACTTTTATTTGTCCATATAGGACTTCTCATATTTTTGGTAATTCTGGACATGTTTTACCCTTTATTAATGAAAAAAATAGTAAACTAATTTTGAAAAATAGAAACAATTATGAGAATGTAGAAAACATAAGTATGACAACATATATGTTTAATTTTTTATTTTTTAAAAGTGGAATCATATTTTATTTTATCTTCTAGCTACAGATAGAATACTCATTTTGGTTATCTACTTAGTTTAGAAATCATATACTGGGTGTTCTTGCTAGATAGACCCGAGGTATGAAACGTAATATAACATTTCTTGTCTATTCTAACCAAGGTAGTATTGGTAACGTTATAATCAAGGCAATGTATTTGGTGTACGTGAAGGTAGATACCGATTTATAACCATAACTTATTGATATAACTCATCCAGATTTTGTGCCATAACCAATTCAGCATGTTACCTTATGTGACGCTTGAGAAAGAATACATTTCCCACCTTTTCTTCTGTGCTCTGCGTTAGGTAGTATACATATTCTAGGTAATCCGCAAAATATGGAAACTTCCATATTCGGTTGAAAATATTTCCTAAATATCTTAGAGAATATTTTTTCCACGATTTTCTTTCTTCCTCACAATCTTTTTCTCTGTGTGTTTAACATTCTTCATCAAAAAGCTTCATGTTTTCTTCTTATCAATACAAGATGGTTCTAATCATGTTAAATCCGGTGAATGGATGTCTAGTTGCAATGACGAGTGGATAAGACCTGCTATCCGTCGGGTATTAGTTTAACCTGCAAAAAAAAAACAACACGCGTGAGACTTCATGTCTTAACTAAACAAAAACATAAAAAAGCACGGGATCGATCGATCCCAGAAAGAGTCGGTCGATACCGACGGTCGATCTCGATGATTAAACAAAAACATAAAAAAACACGGAGTAGAAACTGATCGACCTTCTCCAGTTCAATCGATCTTCACCGATCAATCTATCATAGATCGATCGATCTCTATTTTAGATCGATAGATCCCGATCCCAGATAATAGAACCGAACCAAAAATAACCAAATATTTCTCTTTGAATCAGTTTTGATCCTCGGGAGTGTTGAATCATGAGTCACCTTGATACATAATGTGTTCTTCGTGTACGAGTATGTGTTGAATTGTCACATAATTATGTCAGAGAGAAGGCGGAATCGCCATGGGAGAGAGCTCGGCGGAGAAGATGATGTAAACAAAATTAGGGTTATCGATTTTCCCTTTGTACTTTGTGTCCCGATTCTTGTTTTTTTTTTATAATTTAAATTTATAGTTCCCCTTAATTTATTAATTTAAAGGGTATTATGGTATTAACAGATTTGAAAATCATATTTTCCCAAAAAATCTAAAAGTCTTATAGGGACAAATCCAAGTTGAGAGTATCCTAATTTTCCAATTTCAAAAAATCTATGCAATCTATAGAGTATATAATTTCCAGAAGAAAATATGGTTGTTTAAAGATCCACTATTTCCTAAAATAACGAGTACAAATCTTTTGATGAAAACAAATAAAAAGAATATTCCTAAATATGTTTATAAATAAATACACTATTACATATATAAGAAGAAACTATAGATGTTTTCCTGCACTATGTGACTATGTGAAAAAATAAAATTCTTAAAAATATAATTATATTTAAAAGTAAAATTTAGTTAACTTTTAAATTTGTCAAAAAAAAAGTTAACTTTTAAATTTATTTTTTATTATACGTTAATTATATGTAAAATCAAGATAAAATAAAAAACTTTGATTTATATTTATATTTATATTTAATAATATATATGTATATATTAAAAATTAAACATTTTGGAAAGACTTTTTATCTTTTTCGTTTGTTCAAAATATGTTAAGTCAGATTTTATACAATTAAAAGAAAAATTTGTTAGGTATATAATTATCAAATATAAAATAAAATAATAATTTTAAAATTTATATATGTTATAAATAAAACTAACGGTGTTGGAATTAGAAATTTGTATCTTTTAAAAAAACACATAAAAGTTTCATAAAAATTATTAATAAAAATTGTATAATTATAAAAAAATAGTCTATTAAAATATTTAAATTCTATTAAATATATTATGTTTCTAATTCTACTATATTATTTATTGTTATGTTAATGATAATTTATGAGTTACTACCATATTTTATAAAATTATCAAAATATATATTAACATTAAATGTAAATGTACATGTCAAAATTAACTATAGACCATGTCATCATTATTAGTGGACATTTTTGTGATTAAACATGTCAAAATCACTTTGCAAATAATGTATAAAAGGTATATAAAAATGCAGATTTTGACATTTTTTCAAATTTTAAATTACAATGCAATCTGGAAAATTAACAACCAATACCAAATTTTAAGGAATTTGTTAAACTATTAAAAATAATCTTCAACATGTTTATCGAAAAATTTATAACATATTTGCCTACTTAAATGGCTTTTAAAACATATGAAAGTCGAACAACTAATTTATTCCAAAAATTTCTATTCACATCAGTTCTTTCAAATAAGTCCACATATCACAACCTTTAAAATAATTCAAAATAATTAAATATCAGGTTTAATCTATAAACTATATCTAGCCAATTCATATACAAATAAGTATTCTAGTGCATTTTTCTATCGTTTTTATTGAATGAAAATGTAGCTATTACAAATAAGCTCATAAACTTGAGAGATTTTTACGTGTTTTTCAACTACACATACTGGACTTCGATTTATAATTGGTGATTTTCATGAAATAACTAGTCATAATGAAAAAGAATGAGGTCGACAAAGGCCAGACAGCTTTTTTTTTTTCCTTTTAAGCAAATGTTAACTAACTGTGGTATATTAAAGTTTCCATTTACTGAAAATATGCTGTCATGGGTGGGCAGACCAGCTGGAAGAACAGCTGTAAATGAAGATTAGATAGAGCCGCTGGAAATAAATATTGGCATGATAAACTTCTTCACTCTATAGTAAAGTAAATGAGACTATGGGGATCAGATCATTGTCCGATCCTCGCCGATATTCTTACTAAGCCGACGAGGAGAACAAAAAAAATCGAATTTGACAAAGATGGCTCGATAATGAGAAATTACAGAAAGTTATTCTTGTTGGATAAAAATCTCCAGATCTCCCTCCAAATGCAAATGTCATGGAACATATTTCAAGTTGCCGTAGAGCTTTAAGCCAGTGGAGAAGAACACACAACCAGAACTCAGAAAAATTGGTGGAGGAACTTAAAGAGATGATGTAGGGTCTGTATTTGGATGATAATGCGACAACAGAGGAAATAGCAAAACCTGTGAAGAAATTATCTGATGCTCTTAAGGAAGAGGAGATGTTTGGAAACAAAAGAGCCGAGTCTTCTAGTTACACAAAGGTGATGGAAACACAAAAAAATTCATGCACTGACAAAACAAATGAGAGTAAGAAACAAAATCACTCAAATTTTAGATGCAAATGGAAATGTTGTTGAGGAGGAGGAAGGGCTGGTAGCCATTGATATTTTAGACAGATCTTCAAATCTTCTAACCCATAAGATATTGATGACGCATTATCTGAGGTATCCACGACAATTATTGACGCCGATAATGCTGATCTTACAGCTCCTTGTCACTGAATAGGAAGTCAAATTATCGCTTTTTGCTATGCATCCAGAGAATATTCCAGAGCCAGATGGGATGACAGCCCTTTTCTACCAGAAATTCTGGGATATTGTGAAGGAGGATTTAACCCATATGGTAAATCAATTCCTTTTTCATGGGACGATTGCAAGCGGGATATTGTAAAGGAGGATTTAACCCATATGGCAAAACAACTATGGAGATTAGTTCAGCTCCCTGATTCACTAGTCGCTATAGAGTTATGAGAGAACGATATTACAAAACATGTGATCACCTTTGCAGACAATATCTGTTAGCAGTCTATCCTATGTGTGGAATAGTATTTTGGCGGCATGTCATTTACTACAATTAGGAATCAGAATGAAGATACATTCGGGATATGAAGTTAAGACCAGCTCGTGCTTCAACCCCAGTTTTAAACCCAAATATGAGAGTGAGTGATCTTATTAATAAAGAAATGAAGAATTAATGGGATGTTAGGTTACTAGAGAGTGTTGTGTTGTAGCTAGAGATATACCGCTGATAAGGAGTCTAGCCATAAGCTCAGGCCATCGTCAAGACACGTTCAGATGGAGTTTTACAAAAAAATGGCCAATATACTGTTAAATCTGGCTGGCTCGAAATTTATTGAAACCGGAGGAAGAGACAGAAATATAAGAGCCCAGTATAACCAAACTCCAAGCCTTTGTTTGGAAAGTGAAAGCGCCTAAAAAATGCGTCATCTTATGTGGCAAATGATAACATGACATGTGCTTGTTACAAGAAATCTGAACCACAGAAACATGAGATGTGATGATTTCTGCCCAAGATGTTGGGAACCAGAGGAAACAGTAACACATGTTATATTTGAATGTCCCCTAGCAATGCAAAGAATGGTTTCTCTCAACTACACCATTTAATCCCAACATTTTCCGCTTCCAAAAATATATGCCAATATGGATTATCTCTTTTGGAGAAAGAACATCATTGTTGAACCTGAATTGGCCATGGATCCTTATCCCTAGATAATCTGGTACAATTGGAAGGCTTAGAATGATAAGCTATTTAGAAACACTGATAGGGATCCTTTGGAGCTAGTTTGATACGCAGAGAGTGAATATCAAGCCTGGTTTAATGCAAATGAACTGATAGCTCAAATCCCACAAGAGCAGAGCAATACTGAGGTCCAAGCCATAAGCCTGATTATATTTGGATGATTGATGGTTTATGGTTGATGGATCACAATCGATTAGTTCAGTGGCTGTGGATGGGTCTGGAAGGATGATATTGGGAAGATCCAGCTTATAGGGACGTGGAACTTAAGAAGGCAAAAGACTGGTCTACATTCGAAAGTAGAAGGGTTCCGATGGGAAATGGAGTGCATGGTACAACATTCGTCATATCAGCGCTTTGGTACGGATTGTAAGGACTTGAATGCCATGATAAAGGAATCTCAAGCTTGGCCAAATTTTGTGACAGAGCTGGAGGCTATTGAGACTCTACAGATATGCATGCTTTCCAGAGTTTAAGTTATCACACTCCCAAGGGCACAAAATGGAATTTTGGATTCTCTAGCAAGGACTGCTAGATACATTCATAAAAAATTGTGTTACATTGGTTATTATGTTCCGGTCTAGTTACCCAGACTACCTCAAGTTTGAGTAATAGAATATACGTTTTTTTTTTTTTTAAACTAAAGAGACGCCATTTGTAAAAATGAAATAACAAATACAAGTTAAGATCTGTCATTCATAAAAGCAGTATGATGTACAACTGAGTGAAACATTGTATATTTTTTTATGATATGAGAATATAAATGTATGGACCAGAGCTCTCTAATAGCATGAGCTAGTGGAGCGGTCAAACATGATCCAAGTTTAAAAATTAAGAAAAAAATTAAGAATGTTTTAAAAATAAATACATAAATTATTGTTTAAACCTTTAAATTTTATATATACTACTAAATTTAGAAGTTATAAATTTGTAAAAAGAGTGAAACAGATAAAAATAGAGCTATAACTTTTAAAATTACTCTATTACATCTTTAATTATATCGTTAAAATTTTATTGAACAAGATCCACAAATAATTTGAGACAGTACTGGTATGGACATACTTTAACTCAATTATATAATCTATCTTTTTATATCTTTCAATTTTTATCTATAATATTGTGCTTGTTAAAAAAATTTTAAAGTGATAAATTAAAGAGAAAATTAGGAAAAAGAGACATCTTGAACTATGATTTTGGAAACTAAGATTTGTACAAGATTATTTAGTTAACTAGGATTAATATTTTTTAAATAGCATTATACCCTTTAATTTACATATTTAAAATTGAATTTCGTAATATATGAAAAAAAAAAGAAAAAAAGTAGAAACAAGACAAAGTAAAAAACAGCAAAACGTTAAAGGGATAAAACAGTGTGTTTTACATTTGCCCTAATTTCACCACTTTCTCCTCTTCCCCCAAACCTTCAGACGGCGATAATGGAGATTTAGGGTAAGTCTTGCTTCTTTCTCCGCTTACTCGTTGATCATTGATTTTCTGCTCTCTAATCTTGTTTTCTCTTTTATTTTATTTGTTCTCATACACAAATTGAATAGATTTGTTCTTCCTCTACTGATTTTTCTCATCCGATCTTCTTCTTCCTTGTCCGAGTTTTCTGGGAGGGTCCCTTCACACTTTTTCTCAAGGTTCTCATCAAAATCTCACTAGGTTTGCGATTACTTCTTTTGATTATGTTAACCCTAGATTTCTTAAACCCGATTTGGTTTATTTGTTAAACTAAAATTACTTGTATGGGTTGATTAAGCTTCTTATCAACTACGATTTAGTCATGTATGTTAATATTTTTGACCCGATTTGGTTTCTTTGTTAAACCCGATTTGGTTGATTTGTTAAACTAAAAATTACTTGTATAGGTTGATTAAGATTCTTATCGACTATGATTTAGTCTTGCATGTTAAAATTTTGATTTGTATTTGTAGAGTATCTATTTAGGTTTGCTTGAAAGAGGGAAAATTTGAAAAAGAGCTTATATTCATGTTAAACATATAGTAATGTTCTGTGAAGGTAGTCTTGAGAGTTTAGTTTTTGTCTTTGTCAGGATGTAATGTTGTTCTGTGAAATCTTAGTAATAGGTGGAACATGTTTTTTAAATTATGCAGATTGTACAAGTAAAAGTACATTGTTGTTCTTTTCTTTGTGTGTGCTCTCATTACATTATTTTATCTTTGATTGTAGGTATGTCTGGGGAGTTACCAAATCAGCTTTTTGAGGCGGGTGAGGAGACCTAAGTGACTCATATCAATAACAACTTCAGGATGGTATGTTATATGGATAGGTTGAAGGGATGGCTGACAAAGAAGTTAAAAGAAGTGAAGAAAGATCCGCTTTTTGCTCAGATTTTTAAGCTGTACGAGAATGGTTTGGGTTACTCCGCGAGAGTGATACACAGCTTCTTGTGTAGGGAGCTGGTGACTTAGAAAAATCATGAGCTATGGTTTACCTTTGAGCGGAGACCACTCCGATTTTCATTGTTAGAGTTCCACGCAGTAACCGGGCTTCAGTGCAATACTAGCTTCTCACGTAAGGAGTTGGTTGAATGGGAAGATGATGGTGGTTTCTGGAGGACAATGGTGAGGACAAAAGAGGGAGTTTATATTTTGGACCTGTGGAAAAGTCACCAGCAAGATGTTAAGAAGTGGAGTAATGCTGATCGATTAATACTGATGTATCTGTGCATCATTGTTACTATGGTTTGCGGCCAAGATTAGAAGGCTAATATGCCCATCAAGTATGTCAAGCTGGTCATGGATCTTGAGAAGTTTCGAAACTATCCTTGGGGAGTTTCTGCTTTTGACCTTCTATGCGAGTCAATAGGTAAAATTCATGACAAACTGAAGGAGAAGACTACCAGTTACGTGTTAGATGGTTTCTCCTACGCCATTCAGATTTGGGTAATGGAAGCAGTACCAAAGATTTGAAACCTCTGTGGAAGAAAACTGAACAAAAATTTTATGAACGGTCGTAGATGTGTAAACGAAAGAGGAGCTGCAAAGATTTCATACGAGGAGATCATCCAGGTAGAGAACATCTTTACACCCGAGGTAAATATTTCTATTTAATATGGTTGCATCCGATGAGTTTTTGGTATGTAACATTTTTTACCTTTCTTGTGTAGGATGTCATCTATCTATACATCTCATGGGGAGGCAATTGTGTAGTAATTGAAACTGTTTAATTTCACAGAGCTGATGAGGTGGAGGATGATAGAATCAAGGTTCTCATGAGGATGATAGACGCTAATCATGACTTCAGTGATCATATTTGGGAGTGAGACACCAGAGTTTTCTTTTGGGGTTCATGACAAACAAGGAGAGGCTGATAGAGTATCTGAGAATGATGGAGTATATTGAAATGATAAAGCATCTAAGAATGATGCAGATGCTCCCAAGAATGATGAAAAAGATGGGAGTGATGGAGAGTTTCAAACTCCAAGAGGAACAGCGAACACAAGCTCCGGAGGTAGAAAGGGAAAGAAGAGGCTCCCAGATCGTGGAATGGAAAAAAGGAATTAAAAGGTTCTCTGTACTAGCACCAAACATGAGCCGTTTAATGAGGATATGAAAAGCTTTGTGGCCCAGTTGTTTCAGCACAATTTTTCGGCAATGGAATAGAGGCAATAAAAACATATGGGTGAAAGATTTGAGAAACTATAGTCTGAGCTTAAAGTTTCCGTTAAGGATGCAACCATGGATGCAACCGTTGAAGTTGAGGACGTAGAGCCCTCGGCGACCAAGCCTTCTCCTACCAAGCCATCTCCTAGCAAGCCTTCTCCTACGAAGCCATCTCCTAGCAAGCCATCTCCTAGCAAACCCTCAACTAGCAAGACAACATCTACCAAGCCATCGCCTAGCAATACAACGCCTATGAAGCCATCGCCGAGGAGGTCCAATCGCTTGGTAAGCATGGGAAAAAACACTAGTTTCACCACTCTCTCTAAAATGTTATTATGGCTTGTTTATTAGATGATTTGTGTGTCTGTGTGTAATATATTTATGCAATGTTTATGTAATTCGGTGTGTGAACTTGTTTTTGTATGTAAGATAATGGAACTATGTGTAAGATAATGGCTAGATAAACTATGCTTATGCTTGTGTTAATGTACTTTGTGTACTTGTTATTATACTAGTATTAAAATAATTTATCTTTAATTAACAGGATAAGAATTTGAGTGGAGCAGAAGATATGGACATAGGAATAGATACCCAAGGCCTAGAAGACCTTTCTCAGGCCTCGGCCGTGCCAGGTTTTGGTCCATCGCAGACTACTAAGGACAACGAACCATGTCATTCGTGGACTCCAATGAGTACATTCCAGGAAATAAATGTTGAACCAATGCAAGACAATAAAGCTCCACCGCCGACCAAGTGGAATAAATGACAAAGGAAACTTGAGCTTAGTGACTCATCCATGCCGTCTGGTGGTTCTCCACAGTCCTCACTGTATTGGTTCAACGAAGAATCATGGTATAGATTCACTGAATGGTCTATGAATCCAACAACTTTAAGGATTGGTCCTACAGCCTTTAATATGACCGTAGCTGCAAGAGTAATAGGTCCTGAAAAAGGCTTGGAAACGAGGTATTGCTTTCTTAATTATATAAGGATGAATATGGGAGTTTCTTTGAATACTCCATTGATTTATTTTCTTCATTTGTATTCAGAAAATGGATGCGTTCATCTTTATATGGCGAGTGAAGACTTCTTTGAGGCATTGGACACCAGACCGTGTTGCTTTCAAGCCTGCCTATTTTTGCCTTCAAATTGGGAAAGTATACCTTAGAGCACATGCATTAATGACCCCGAGGAGGGGAGTTCATGGTGTTTTTTTATTATTATTTTATTATTTTTCGTTTATTTAAAATAAAATAAAATAAGAAAAGAATAAAGGAACCAATCGTGGGCCGCCACGTGTCGTGGGGTCCACGAAACAATGATGACACCGAGTCATCTCAGAGAGCTTGCGTGACGCGGGTTCACCAAAATTGCATTATTTTACTATTTTTTCGGGATCCGTGTGAACTTCTCTCTGATCCTCTAATGTGCTTGCTCTTAGCTTTACAGGTAACAAAAGAGGCTACGTATTCGGCGATATTTGTCTTGCTTACAGGAGAGGAGAACATCCATCTCATGGGCGGACTAATAAAGTTTGGGGTGTTGATGTTGATCGTCTCTACTTTCCTCTGTTTGTCGAAGTTATTAATTGGTCATTTTTACAGGTCTTCATTTGGATCCCCGTATTAAAAAAATTAGCAATGTTCAATGCAGGTTATCACCGGATAGCTGTTAGCGTCAATTTCATTGAGAAGACAGTTGAAGTATTTGACTGCTTGCAGAGAAAGAATAGACAATACGTGGAGAAGTTTGCTGTTATGATTCAAAGGATAGTAAAGGCTATTGCACCACCTAAAAACAAGAAGTATCTACTCCTGGAAAAGTATTCTATCGTAGATTAAACAAGATTTTATGTGATTGCAGGACATATGCACTCAAACATTTGGAATGCCAACTCCTTGGTCTTGACCTTAGTTTAGTGGATGACGAAATCATCTAGGGTTGACTTCAAAAGAGTGCTAAGGATATATGGGAGGCTGCAGAAGATCCCATTTTAGTTGAGTTGATGACTCAATATGTTCAATCTAATTTTGAGTCATCTATTTTATTCGACCTCGTAGAAGACTGATTATGTGTGTTTGGTGTTAAGTTTTAGTTTGGTTTTTCAGTTAATGACACTACTCTGTTTGGTTTATGTGACAAAATAAATTTGGTTTTTTTATGGATTTATGTGACAACACTAGTTTGGTTTTTCATGATGTATGAAAGATTTGCTATAATCAGCCCGAAACACTAACTAAACCCTAAACTAACCCTAAACAAACCCTAACTAAACCTTAAATTAACCCTAACTAAACCTAAACAAACCCTAACTAAACCCTAAACTAACCATAAACAAACCCTAAACTAACCCTAAGTAAACCCTAATTAAACCCAACATAACGACCTTAGCATGTAACACTCACATAAGAAACTTAGCATGTAACACCTTATCACTCTGAAAATGACATAAACGTAGTCGATAATACCATTGGGAGGTTTGTCAGTCACTAATTAAGTATATTTGTCTATTTGCTTTGCTTCATGTATTTACACAGATTTATAAGATTTCAAAGAGAAAGGACAAACGTTTAGGAGTAGGTTGTATTCAGTATTTTTAGAAATTTTTGTGATCTACCTTAGGTAGAGTACACGTTATTTAGATATGGAAACAACGGTGTTTTGTCAAATTGTTTGACCTAATCTTTTTTTCTTCATTCTTGCATGACAGGGAGAACCCCAGAGGGCGAAAACTTGGAGATCGAGTCAATCATGTCTTCAATCAATTCTCCGGACAAATCAAGATATCGAGTACCCAAAGAACGGGGAATTCCCACTAAAAGCAGATGCGGTGAAGGTGATGTTCTTTTCACTTCAAAAACATGGGAAAATCTAGGTCGATTATTTCACTGTTGTCTGATGGGATATGAGAAGGTTAGTCCTTTAATCATATAATGTTGAATTCAGTATAGTCTAATTATATTTTGAATTTCATGTTGAAGGACAAACCACACTTGTTCAAATGGACTGATAAGTCAGTTGTTGAAGAAATTGAAGACTTCCAGGAAGTGGTTGACGTGGTGCTCATTGACAATATCCAGTTTCAGAATTCAATGAGAGCTTCTGAGATCCTGCTGAAACGACATGAGAGTAGAATTGGAGATATGGAAGATGCAATTGCACGTTGTCAAGCAAAGACCATCGAATGCAGTAGCGAATTAAGGATCATAAAAGCTTTGTTTGTGTGTTGTTTAGTGATGGTATTCATTTACCTCGCCTATCCAGATTGTCTGTTGCTGATCACATTGTTGTTCTATTTTTCTTTCAAATAAGTGTAACGCTATTGTTGTTGGTGATTATCATCGACTTCAACCAAAATGGTGCAAAACCCAAATCGTTTTGTCAAATAGGTTGTTATACATCAAATTCCAAAAGTGTAATAAGCAAAAAGGAGAGAAAAACGACCACACAGAGATCCCGACCACACACTATTAAGTAAATAGGAATATCACATGTTCCTCTCTTGTGTCCTACGATACCACAGTGGCTGCACTTGTGCTTTTTATTTCCCTTTGATCCTTGAGAAGATTTTATCTTATCTTCTATTGTTTCATACTTTATCTTTACTGGTCTCCCATCACTCTTTGTTGTCTCTGGTGATTATACCTTTGCCAGTTTTACCTCATCTGGGACATTCCATTCATGCATTCCGCATAGACGGTTCTCCATGTTTCAGTGGTGTATACGCCATCGGTAAATCTGTGTACTTCCATACCTATGTCAAAAAAAAACAGAGATCAAGTAATGTCTATGTGCTGCAAAAAAAAACTGACCATGTAATAGGTCCCAATATCATCTATTTGCACTTAAATACCTCGAGAATAAATTGCTGAAATGGCGTGTTGGCAAGGTATTTTTCCTATATCGTACTTCCCACATGTACATGTTCTCCTTTCCAAATCAACATGACAATCATATGTTTCTCCTTTCACAACCGACCTGAAATTGTCAACCTTGTAAACCTAAAATCCTTTTACCTTCACAATTCTCCTATCAATCTTTTTCTCAACTTTAACGGTTAAAGGATCCAGCTGCTTCGAGCTTACCATTCGACGCTCTTAGAACCACTGGTCATCATTTCTCTTATACTATCTATCAAAGGAATAACTGGAAATTCTCGAGGTGATCTTATAACAGAATTTATCGACTCTGCAGGGTTATTGGTCGTAATGGCATACCTTGATCCAGTGAAAATAGAACAAGTCCATTTTCTCACATCAGCTTCCTGTAGATATCTTCCAAGCACATGACACATATCAACAATTTCCGTGTAACGTTCTTGAAACTCACTGAACCTATATGCCCGTGAAGATTTTTCACCCAAAGCAGTCAACCCCTTTGTCTTGAAATTCTTCACGACATTGGTCAATAAATGGAGAATGCAAATTCCATGTCTTGATTGAGGGTAGACAGTACCAAGCACTTTAGCAATTGACGCATTTCTATCTGACACGAAATCTAAGCCGTTATCAGCGATAACAACATTCAATTTTCTAAAGAACCACTCCCATGAATCATGATTCTCTGAATGAACAACTCCAAATGCGATCGGACACAAATAGAAGTTACCATCTACAGCTGTAGCCACAAGTAGAACACCTTTGTAATTATTTTTCAGAAAAGTTCCATCAACAACAATCACCTTGCGCATGCCATTGTAAAATCCTCTAACTGATTGCCAAAACGAGAGAAATAGATACTTGAATCTTCCTTCCTTAGTGATTTCATAGTGAGTATGTGTACCAGGATTAGCTTCTTTAAGCATATACAAATATTTTGGTATTTTTGCATAACTTTGATCAGGTATACCTCTAACTGCAGCAATTGCAAACTCACAAGCTTCCCAGGCGCGCCAATAACTAATCTCACAACTATGCTCCAAGAGCATATACTCGACTATGTCATTCGCTTTTAGTCCTTCATGGGGATCCACAAATCGATGTTGTATCAAACTCCTAATTGTTCTTGCCGACACCTTTTTCCAAATTTGCTTTTCTTAGAAGGCGCACACATTGTTGATCATGAAGTATGTAGACCCATCTAGAAACTTCGCACGCATAGTCAAGTTGCATATTGAATCTTTACATCGACTATACCACCATTTTCTCATCGATTTGAGAACAACATAATCGAAATTATTTTTCATCGCCCAAATTTCAGCTGTGGCCTTTAGGACATATTTACTTCTTAATATTTTATCCTTTGTCACAAAAATGTTTCTCGGAGATTGGCCATCCTTATCATAATCTCCATTGTTTTCACTCCTTAAACCAGCATCACTGTAACCATCCTCAGCGACATGTTTCTTTTCAGAAGAAACAGTTGACGGTTTGACAAAGTCTACTTGATTTGTTTCATGAACTTCGTCATCCTCAACATTACTTGAGTCACACGGTTCCTTATTCAAATCGACATTGACTCGTTTCTTTTCTTTTGCAGCAGTACCAGACATTGTCACACACAAGATTGTGGAAGAACCCTTCTTCGCATACATCACAAAAGTAGATATTTGTCCATTATTGCTGATTATAATATGAGGATTATCTCGTTGATTCACCATCTGATAACTGAACTCGACATTAACGAGCATATGGTCGACCCCATAATCCTCACACACCTTGATTTTGAGCTCCTCCAACAGAGTTGTAGTTTCTAATGTTACCATTCGACCACGCCTTTCCTTGTATGCCAAGAAACTCTATTGATCACTGCAACTTGACATCCATACACCAGAGTTAACATAGATTAGAACCATGTTGTTTTGGTAGATAGAAGAGGTGGTCATGTCGATGAGAAAAAGAGAGAAACAAAGAAGAGACGAGGGAGAGAAATATAGTGAGAGAGAATCGTGGGAGAGAATAATATTTGAGATTTGATGTAAATTTAGGTAAGTTGGTTATCCAAATATGGAATTTATTTTCTTAATTTAGCTGTAATATGTACTCTACGTAAAGAAGAGTAATGAAGGGAGGATCAGATGTTTATTCTATCATATGCGTATGATAATGTAAAAGGTAGAACAAGTTATAACACATAATCAAAACTGGGTAGTCCGTAGAGTCGCGGTTATAAGTCGGATTTATGCTTACAATAGACTATAGACATCTTGTTAGAATACAACATCACGAATTCTACACAAGATAGAATACAGAAGAAATTTTTGTTTGTATTTTGTACCTAAGATAGATCTATGTGTACAACATACTATTTGATTCCTAGATGACGTAGATAGCTAAAATGAGTAATCTATCCTTGCTATAACATTAAATAAGACATGAAACCACATTTTTTACCAAAAAAAATTAAAAATATAAATACTCATACTAATGTTTACTGACATTTTGATATTTTTTTATATTTTTAAAACTTCGTTTACTATTTTTCAATTACTAAAGGGTAAAACATGTACAAACTCTCCAAAAATATGAAAAATCCTTTTTTACCAAATAAATTTTGAAAGCGTCTCTTTTTTCAAATTCTCCCTAAATTAAATGACACATGTGTTCTAAAACCACGTACAAATGTTAAAACACATTAACTAAATTATATAAATTAAATTTTCTACATATACAATATTATTCAGTAAAATAATATTTTAGCACTTTGAAATTATAGATCAAACTCTGTTATCTTTTTATTATGAGCATATACACTTTTGGCCATAAGTCCTACTCCTTGTAAGATCAAATGTTTGTGATAAGCCAGATGTCCAGCTCTCTGTTAATATGATACTGTTTACTTTAGATTAAATTTATCACATATTTGTTTTTGAGTTTCTTCTAAAAAAATCCTCATAACAAATAGAATTGGATACTACTTGGACTTTGAATGGAGAACACATATCAGAAAATGCAGATCAAATAGAAATGCAGATCAAGCAGAACAAATGCAGATCATGCAAATCAAGCAAAACAATTGCAGAACATTGAGATCAAGCAGAATAAATGCAATTCAAACTAAATTAATAAATTATTATATTTAGATTAATGTTAAAATTTTTAATTAAAGTTAAATATCAAAACAAATATAATTTATTATAAATAATTAATAAATATCACGTTGACACAAATTACAATAAATACCATCATTTTAATAAAATATAATGAAATTTTAAATTATACGAAAATTCATCACAAATAAAATTATAAAGAGTATTCTTGTTTTGCTCTTACTTTTTGTATTTTTGTCAGTTTTTGGTTCTTTCCAACCATTTCATTCAAATGAAAAACTAATATAGTTAATTTTATATATGTTATTGTATCAGCAAAATTTTTATTTGAAATTTTAAATAGAAACTTTATTTTAACTTATTATTTTTCATAATTCAGTAAAACAAAACTAAATTCAAAACATATTTTGATTTTTTTTATTTAAATGGCTTGGGAATTTTGGTTATCGGTTATGTTCATGTATTTTGGTTATCAGATAATTTGGATAGAGGTTTAGAGGATCCATTTACTACTTAACATCGGTTCAGTTCGGATAGTAAAATTAGGAACAATAAAGTACCCAAAAAAAATTCAGTTCAGATAGTTAGTGTTAAATATCAGGTATTTTGGGTAATATAGTGAATAATTACGATAATTTAGATATAAAAAATCTCTAATAGTTTGTGTAATATATATATATATATATTAAGTTATATTCTACATATATAATTAATACATTTATATATTTGGGTACCCGTTTTTGGTTTGGTTCCTATTCGGTTCAATTATTTAGGTTATAGAAATATAGGAAGCATTTGGATATGTGAGATATAAGAAGGCACACATGTATATGTGAAAACAAACAAAAAATATGTTTAACATTTTATTGATATTATTATATTTAAAAATGAATAAAAATATTATTTTATATTTCATTGTTTAAATATATTAGGTGATCATAAAAGTAACTATTTAAATGTATCTCTAGTTAATATATAAAATATAAGATTTACAATTAATTAAATATAAGATACAAGTACATGTATGTGTTATTTTTAAGATCCTAATTTTTTCATAATTTATTTTATAAACTAATTAAAAATATACTCTTTATTTTATGATTTTATTTAATTGATGTAAGACAACGTGAAAATAAATGAATTAAAAACAAAATAAATTTCTCATATATAATTTTATATTAAAGTTCGTCAAATATTATAATATAGAAATTAAAAAAATGATAAATTTTATTTTGAGAAAAAATAGTTTGTTAAATGAATGAAATGTAATAATGAAAAGTATTTATTGTATCTAAAAAATAAAAGAAGAAGAAAACTGTCAAG